TCCGGGTGCACTGCACTTCGGGAGGCAGGCTTGGTGCCAACCCTGCTGCCTTTGGTTCGGGACACCAAGCCTGAGCACATGAGTCTGGTGACATGGTCAGTGCAGATTCTAGAAGCCTTCATGGATTTTTCCAACCCTGCAGCAGCACTTTTCAGGGAGCTGAACGGGCTAGACATGTGTGTGGACAGACTGAGGCTCGAGGTTGCTCGAGTGGAGCCCACTCTCCTGCCTGTCCAGGGTCTAGGGTCTAGTAAAACCCCGGCTGGTGGTGCTGCTGAGGGTGCTGGTGAGGGGACTGCTGGTGGGGCGGGTAGGAGTGGCTCGGCTGGTGCAGAAGCCACTGGTATGGATGAGGATCGCAAGGGCAAGGCTCCTATGGTGGAAGAGGAGGGTGCAGGAGGGGTAGGAGCAGGCGCAGGGGTGAACGGCGGCGCTGGTGCTGCTGCATCCGGAGCATCTCCTGCTGCTGCCGGCGGTTCCACTGCAGCGCCAGCAGTGCTGACGTACCGGCAGCGCAGTCTCATTAAAGTCCTGCTGCGAGTCATCTCCCTGGTCAGCTTCGCACCAGGCAGCACCGTCAGGCTCGCCTCAGCCTCCCCCGAGCAAGGGGGCATGGGGCGGCTGCCGGACTGCCTGGCGGCTGTGTTTCGGCACGCGAAGGAGTTCGGGGGGGGCGTGTTTGCGCTGGCAGCATCGGTGATGAGCGAGCAGATCCACCACGAGCCCACCAGCTTCGCTATTCTGGACGCTGCAGGGCTGCCCAAGACCTTCGTGGACGCTGTCAAGGCTGGTGAGTCTTGAGGCGTATCAATGCTGGTGAGTGAGTTATGAGGTGTCTTAAAAGTAGCTGGCGGCATCGGTGATGAGCGAGCAGATCCACCACGAGCCCACCAGCTTCGCTGTGCTTGAGGCTGCCGGGCTGCCCAAGACGTTTGTGGATGCTGTCAAGGCTGGTGAGCGCGCTGTGTGTTGATGGGTCAAGGTTGTTTGTGCTTTACGCCACAGACACAAGCACAGAGAGATGTGCGTCACACCATAGTCTGAGGCCATCCCCAACGCACTGCTCGTCATCTGTTTTTGAGGCGCCCCTTAACTCCTGCATTCCCCTTCTGGTTTCCCCCACTCCCCCCTCCCCTCCCTCCCTCCCCCTTTCTCCCCTCCTGCAGGTGTGCTACCGTCGTCTGAAGCCATCTGCGCCATCCCCAACGCGCTGCTCGCTTTCTGCCTCAGCCAGCGCGGGCTACAGCTTGTCACCGACTCCCACGTGCTCGCCTGCCTGCCCGCCCTCTTCACCTCGCGCCACTACTCGCGCCCCCTCGCGGGGGACACCGCGTCTGTGCTGGGAGCCGGGCTAGACGAGCTGATGCGCCACCAGGTGAGCCTCCGCCAGCCCCTCATGGGCGCAGTTGTGGGCGCGCTCAGGGAGATTGCGCGCATGGGGGGGCTGGAGGAGCGGAAGGGGAGGAGGGCGGGGAGGGGAGGGGGGGAGGGAGGGGATTCGTGGGAGGGGGAGATGCGGGGAGGGGGGGATGGTGGAGGGGAGGAGGGGGTGCGGGCTAAGGAGGATGACGCGGATAGTGGGAGGCCGGTGGGGAGTGGGGGGGCCGGGGAGGAGGGGGCAGCAGGAGTGGGACAAGGAACAGGGGGAGGTGCATCAGGGGCGGGTGCAACAGGGGCGGGTGCATCAGGGGACGCGGCTGTGCCAATGGAAACAGATGGGGGAAACCAAGGGGCAGAGGCAGCAGCAGCAGCGGCAGCGCCAGTTGCTGCAGCAGCCACAGGGGAGCAGGCAGGGGTTGAGTCAGAGGGGGGACAGAGTGTCCCTCCAGGGCCAGCAGGAGAGGCACTTGCTTCTGGCGTGGCTGCAGAAGAACCGACGGTTGAGGCAGCGGCTGCTGAATTGGCGGTTCCTGGTTCAGAAGCAGTTATGGCCGAGGCGGAACCGGCAGGAGAAGGAGCAGCAGGAACAGAGGCAGCAGGAGCAGAGGCAGCAGGAGCAGGAGCAGGAATGGCAGGTTCTGGGGCTGTTGCTGCTACCGGTGCTGCCACCGCCATTGCCACACACACCACAAGCAGCGGCAAGGAGAACCTCACACCAGCAGAGCTAGAGGCATTCCTCCCGGACTGCATCAGCAACATGGCTCGCCTGCTGGAAGCCGTACTCTCCAACGAGGCCAGCAGCCGCGTCTTCCTCGACCTCCGGGGACTTGACGCACTCCTAGCGCTCTACACGCTGCCGCGCCTGCCACTGCTCTTCGGCACGTCCCCTGCTGCTCAGGGAATCTCCATGGCCATGCGGGCGTTTGGGCCCAGCCACGCCTCGGCTGTGTCGCGCGGGGTGGCGTCGGCGCTCAAGAAGCATGTCAAGTGCGCCGTCGCGTTTGTCACCACGTCTCTCTCGTCATTCTCCCCCGCTGCCGCACCTACTGCCTCTGATGCTGCTGCTGCGGGTGCTGCTGCCACAGCCGCTTCAGCAGGCCCTGCTGCCGCCACTGCTGCTCCAAGTGCTGCTGCTGCAGGAGCGTCAGGCGCTGGCTCATCCGCAGTAACAGTCGGCCGGCGCCAGCTGTCTGACCTGGACGTGGAGTCACGGGAGTCGCTCCTCCGTGCCCTGGGAGTGGCAGAGAGCCTGCTCTCGCTCTCAGCTGTGCTGGTGCGCGCCACTGCTCTCTCTGTCCCCGACCTTGCGTCGTCCAGTGGAGAGGTGTTTCGAGACGTGGCAGTGTTACACAGGGAGGCGCTCTGGCAGCTTGCAGTATTGGAGCACAAGGGACTGCCACCGCCTGCCCCTGCTGCTTCTTCTGCTGCCGCTGTTGCTGCAGAGGCGGGAGGGAGTGCAGGGGGTGGAGGGGCTGGGGGAGGAGAAGCGGGAGCAGGTGAGGGCGGAACGGCTGTTGGAGGATCAGGGGCAGAGGGGGAAGCGGGGCAGGGTGCGGGCTCTGAGGGAGGAGCTGCGCCAGCAGCTGCAGATACAACTGCCGCCGCCGCAGCTGTATCCTCTGCTGCTGCGCCATCCGCAGGACCTTCAGAGGCAGCTGAACCCGCCACAGCAGCAGCAGCCGCTGGAGAAGGTTCAGGAGCAGGAGGAGCAGGAGGAGAAGGGGGGGCGGCAGCAGCAATGCAGGTATTCCCGGGGGAGGCAGCGGACGATCTGGATCTGCTGATGATGGACAGTGACGTCGGCGCTGGCAGGCCCATGCGCAACGGCCCTGGCGCCCTCTGGCCCCGCGGCGAATTAGGGTTTCCGCACCGCAGCGGCAGCAGGCACCTCTCCCGCGCCTCCCGCGTTGTCCCTGATGGTACAGGCCCTGATAATGGTGCTGTTGAGGCAGGGGTGAGTGGCACCGCTGATGCTTCTGCTGCTGCCGCCGCTGCTGGCTCAGCTGGTGCGGGGGCCACAGATGCTGCCGGGAGGAAGAAGCCGGACGGTGCCGTACAGAAGGAGGTGTTGGGGCGGCTAGTGGTGGCGGTGCGTCTGTTTGAAGTAGCCGTGGGGAAGGCGATAGTTCCCTCCAGAAGGCGGGACGATGCCGTGGTGCTGACAGGCCACGCCAAGGTAGCCTCAGCCGCCCTCGCACAGACCTTCCAGGAGAATCTAGGGTTAGGGTTTGCCGGGTGCGACCCAGGGAGGAGCAGCAGTGTTGAGGCGTGCTCGGGTGAGGAGATACTGGACTGTCCGGCAGTGCGGTGCGTGTATCTGGGGAAGATGGTGGATGATATGTTTGCGCTGATAGTGGATCCGAGGCGGCACACGTGCAATAGCATGCTGTTGAGGTTCTTCCACGCGCACGGGGCTGTGAAGCAGCTGTTTGCGTCGCTGCAGTGGGTGGTGCGGGTCATGTGGGCCGAGCAGGAGCGGCAGGTGAAGGAGCGGGAGGAGAAGGCTGAGAAGGTCGCGAATGAGGAGACGGCAGGGAAGGAAGCGGGCGGTGTGGGAGTAGAGGTCGCAGGAAGCTCAGTGGCTCAGATGGAAACGGATGGGTCGGCCGATGCGGCAGCAGCAGCAGCAGTATCGGGGGAGAAGAAGAGCACGGATGAAGGCTCCAAGGACGGGGCCAACAAGGGCACGGGTTCTCTTGTGGAATCTGGTTCCTTCTCGCTGCCTGCGTGGCTGCACTCCCCTCTGCAGAGCTACTTCCGTCTCATGGACTGCCTCACCAACCCGCACCTCCTGCTCGCCCCCTCCTCCACCAGCATCTTCCTCACCCACCAGCTCTCCCGCTCAGTTGAACCCGCCCCAGCTAAGCCTGAGGACTTTCTCAGGGACATGCAGTCGCAGGTGTTATCTATCATGCTGGACGTGTGGTCCCACCCTCTCTTCTCCCAGTCTGGTCTTGCTGTCATCTCCCCGGTGGTGACTCTGCTCACCCGGGTGCTTCAAGGGCTCAGTGAAACGGCTCCAGCAGCAGCAGGGGGTTCTGCTGCTGCTACTGCGGGTGCAGGGACTGGTGCAGGTGCAGGAGCAGGCGGAGCGGCAGCAGCAGGAGCAGGGGCAGGGGCAGGGGCAGGTGGGGCGAGCGGCGCAGGAGGGCAGGGGGGTGCAGCAGCATCCGCAGCTGCCCTGGCTGCTGCAGTGCTGGGAGGGCGAATGCCGCCGGGACCTGTACCCACGCCTGTAGACGAGGCCCTATTGGACCTGATAGTGGAAATGGGGTTCCCTAGGGAGCGCGCAGAGGAGGCGTTGCGTCAGGTGGGGAATAATCTGGACCTCGCTATGGAGTGGCTCATTAGCCACGTGCCAGATGAGCCTCCCTCAGAAGAAGACGAACTCGCCCGCGCGCTCGCATTGTCTCTTTCTGGTAATGATGGGGATGGGGGGGTTGGGCCTAGTGCGGGTGGGCAGCAGGGTGGGGAGGAGGGAGCAGGTAAGGCAGGAGAAGGGAACGAGGGGGAAGAGAAGGGGAAGGGGAAGGAGAAGGAGAAGGAGGAGGAAAAGGAGAAGGGGGGAGAGCAGGAGGGGCGGAAGGAGGTGAGGGTGGAGGAGATGCTGGGGACGATAGTGAAGGTGCTGAGGGACGGAGGGGAGGGCGCTGTGTTCCCCATGACCGACCTCCTGCTCGCCCTCTGCAGGCGCAACGCAGGCACAGACAGGGCTGCTGTCGTGACGTTTCTGGTGGGGCAGCTGAAAGAGTCCTGCGGGCAGGTGAAAGAATCTCCTAGCGGCGTCGAGAGCAAGAAGCAAGGCAGCAGTGAGGGGAGAGAGTGGACAGCAGAGAAAGAGGAGGAGGGGGAAAGGGCTGCTGCTGGTGGTGGTGTGCCATCTTCGTTGCAGCCCGTGCAATCAGCATTGGCTCACTGCCTGGCTGTGCTACTCTCAGAAGACCTGCCCTGCTCGGACATAGCAGCCAAGGAGGGCTTCGCTGCTGTCGCTCTCCACATGCTCTCTGGGTATGTCTCCTCTGTGTGCCCCGACTACCACCCCCCGACTCTGCCTCTTGCTGCACTCGCATCACCTCCCAGCAAGAGCCGGCTACAGCAGCAGCCCAATGCAGGGTTGGCGGGTCAGAGGGTAGAGGCTAGAGGGAGAGCTGACGGGGTGGCAGGGGGGAAAGGAGGGCAAGCGGGAGAGGGGCGTGAGGGCCTTGGGGAGGTGCCCAAGTGGGTGCCGTCTCTGTTCCTTGTGCTGGATTCTCTTGTGCAGTGGAAGGTGCCTGGCACAGGGGTACGAGGGGAAGCAGGTGCAGCAGGCGCAGCAGGGGCTGCAGGGGCAGCAGGGGAAACAGCAGGTAGAGGGGGAGCAGCAGCAGCAGGTGCACCGTTGACCTTCGCATCTGTACTGGCAGGCGGGGCTGGTGGGGCATCAACAGGAGCCGAGATTCCAGATGCACTTCCTGCTGCTACTGGCGCTGCTACTGCTGCCGGGGCATCAGAGGCTCCATCCGGGGCGGGTGTATCTGCCACTGCCGCCCCAGCAGGCAGCAAGGGCAAGCAGCCAGCAGAGGCAGACAAGCGAGAGGGCAGGGAGGAGAACCGATTCACAGAGATAGTGGGGCTGTCAACAGGGTACCTGTCAGACGACGAGAAGGCTCAAGCCATGGCCCTCATCTGCCCTCTCCTGCGCCGCCACCCCCCAGCGTCTCTCTGCCAAGCTCTCCTCCACCTCGCCTCACGCCTCTCCCGCTCGCACCCCGTGGCTCTCCTCTTTCTGGACCAGGGAGGGGTGGCGGCGCTCCTCGCGCTCCCCTTCTCCTCGATCTTTCCGGGGTTTGAGAGTCTCGTGTCGGCGGTGGTGCGGCATGTGTTGGAAGATCCGTTCACGCTGCTGCATGCTATGGAAGCGGAGATTAGGCATAGTCTCACCACGCTGGCGACTCAGCATGGGGGGCGTGTGTCCCCTCGCGTGTTCCTGGGCGCTATGAGCCCTCTTGTTGCTCGGGATCCGTCGGCGTTTCTGCAGGCGGTGGGGAATGTGTGTGAGGTGGAGAGTGCTGGTGGGCGGCAGGTGGTCGTGCTGAAACGGGAGAAGGAGAAGGAGAGGGAGAAGAAGGAGCGGGAGGAGAAGGAGAAGGCGAGAGAGAAGGAGAAAGGGAAGGAGAAGGGGGTGGGGGCGAGGGAGCAGAGAGCAGGAGCAGCATCAGAAGCAGCAGCAGCACCAGGGCAACCAGGCACCTCTGCTCCAACCCCAGCTCCAGGTCACACCACTCACCACCACTCCTCACCTCCTTCAGCCTCTCCGCTAACCTCTCCACCGCCTCCCCAACCGCCCACGGGTCACTACAGCAAGTCAGCAGACGGCAAGGTGCTGACGTGGGTGTCCAAGTCAGGACGGGTGCGCAGAGTCCCCTGGAGCTTCGCCTCTGTTGTTGACCAGCTCCTGACATACCTGCAGCAGTTCCCGCCACCTGAAAAAACACCTGAGAAATCACCTGGGGAGTTATCTGAGGGGCATGGGGTAGCTGCAATGGAGGTTGGGGTTGGTGGTGGTCTGGCAGGGGAGGCAATGGAGGTGGACGCAGAGGGGCCTGAGAATAAGGCAGGCACAAAGGAAGGAGAGAAGGAAGGAGAGAAGGAGGCAGGGAAGGAGGAAAAGGAGAAGGAGAAGGCGGAGGAGGAGGAGAAGGAGAGGGCGGAGTTTGCAATCTCTCGAACCACGCTGGTGCTGCGGCTGCTCACGGAGATCCTACTGGCGTATTCTGCTGCCAGCACTCTCGTGCTCCGCAGGGATGCTGAGGCTGCTGCTGCCGCAGGTGGTTGTGCAGGCGCTTCAGCAGCAGCGGTGGGTGCAGGTTCGGGTGCGTTAGCAGGGGCAGGCACGCCACAGCTGCACAAGGGAAGCGTGTCCCGTGCACACAAGCACACTCCAGACAAGCACGAACACAAATCCAAACCTGACCACCACCATCACCACCACCAGCACCAGCTACAGCCTTCACCAGGTAAGCCCGAGTCATCAGCAGGCGCCTTTGCATCTGCATGGGCATTCCGAGGGGGTATAGTGCACCACGTGTTACACGAGCTTCTCCCGTACCTCAGTGACAAGCCCAGCACCGCATCAGCAGCAGCAGGCAGCACTGCAGCAGCGCAGGGCGGGTCTTCCCACCCGGGGCACCACCGGCTGGGCACGCAGGCGTCTGCGTTCCTCATTGCGCTGTGCGTGCGGTCAGGGGAGGGCCGGCGCCGCGTGCTCTCAGAGATTTCCAAGAGCCTGAGTCGCTTTGGGAAGGAGGATGGGGGGAGGGCAGGACAGGTGCGGCAGCAGGAGAAGGCAGGAGCGGCTTTGACGGGAGAAGCATCTGTAGCAGGAGCAGGAGCCGCAGGTGGAGTAGGGGAAGGTGGGGCAGCCACGGTTTCAGGTGCAGAAGCAGCAGCAGTTGCATCTGCAAAGCTCCAAGTGCCCAACAAGCAGGTGAGGTCTTTCCTTGACCTCATGAACGCGCTTCTCTCCACGCACTCGTCCAATGGGAGCAACCCACCTGGCGGCCCGGGCAGCTCAGCACAAGGTTCCGCCTTTGCTGTAGAGATGGCCAAAACGGCTCTTGAGGTGGGCATGCTGCCAAACCTCCTTGAGACTTTGAGTGTAATTGACCTGAACCACCCAGATTCACCGAAGTTGGTGAATTCGATCCTCAGGGTTTCAGAGGTGCTCACCCGAGCCTCAGCTTCGGAAGCGCGTGCCGAGCCTGGGAGAGGTCCGGCATCAGGGCAGCGCGTTTCAGTGGGTGTAACAAGGGCTGTAGGTTCGGGAAGGCAGGAAGCAGGCTCGGCAGGGGCTGGAGGGGTGCCGAGCCAAGCAGCAGTGGAAGGGGGGACAACAGGGGCGGAAACAGGTGCGGATGGGGGGGCAGCAGAAGGAGGAGGTGGGGCAGGTGCCACTGATACAGCCATGGGTGATGCAGCCGGGGATGGAGGGAGAGAAACAGCTTCTGTAGGTGGAGAGGCAGGAACAGACGATGGGAGTGAGAGGATGCGAGGGGGTGATGAGGAGGGGAGGCAGCAGGGAGGGGAGGAGACAGGCGGGGCAGGGGCGGAAGAGAGAAGGGCGATGGAGCAGGATGAGAGGCATGGGGGGGAGGAGGAGGAGGAAGAAGCAGGGATGGCACATGAAGCAGAGGCGATTATAAGAAGAGTGGAGGGCGGGGGGAGTATGAGGGGGCCCATGCGGCTGAGGTTCCAGATCCGAGAATTCGATGATATGGGTGAGGATGAGGATGGGGAGGAGGAGGATGATGGGGATATGGAGGGAGAGGAGGATGGGGAGGAGGACGAGGATGGGGAGGATGATATTGAGGATGGGGATGAGGAGGATGAGGAGGGGATGGAGGAGGGGGAGGAGGGGGATGAGGAGGATGAGGAAGATGAGGAAGATGAGGATGATGACGATGATGAGGATGAAGATGATGATGATGATGAGGATGAGGAGCATGGGCATGGAGGGGAGGACAATGGCCATCTGCCTCCCGGTGGCATGGGCATGGGGGATGACATGGAAGACCATGAGGAGGACGATGAGCAAGCAGCCCGGGCCATGCGGCGGGACTTTGCACGTGAGCTAGCAGAGGCAGACGAGGAGGATGATGAGGGAGATGAGGACGATGATATGGATGAGGATGAGGAGGACGCTGATGAGGAGGATTTAGAAGACTGGGAGGAGGACGGAGCGAGGTTCATCGAGGTGAGATGGCGGGACGACGTTACGGGAGCCAATCACGTGCATCTGCTCTCGGGTGGCACGGATGTAGCCGGGTTGATGGACCTTCCAGGGTTCATGCAGCGGGATGTGCTGAACGATCCACTGTATGCGGATATCAATGAGCCTGTGTGGGGGTGGGGGCGGCACCTGGCGAGTCACCAGCGCAGGGCAGCGGTGAGAAGCACGCTGCAGGGGCAGCAGCAGCTCGCGCAGGGGCAGGGCGCGGGGCAGGGGCAGGCGGGGCGCATGGGAGCAGGGCCGCTGCATGTGCACCCGCTGCTGGCCCGCCCGTTTGCCCCTGGGGCAGCGCCGACAGACGCGGCTTCCGCGTCCGCCCCTGCTCACGCTGCTGCAGCACCGGGATCGCGGCTTTTTAACCTCCTGGCGGGCATGCAGGGGATGATGGGAGGAGTAGGGGGACCGATGGGGGCAGGGGGCGGGGCAGGGCCAGGAATGGAAGTAGATGCGGCGTTTGCAAGGGATGTAGCGTCTCTAATGATGGCATATGAAAATCCTTTCCTGGAGGACATGCTGCAGGCTAGAGGGCTGCTTGACCCGCGACCCATGGGCGGCATGGGCAGCATCATGGGCGGCGTGGGCGGCGTGGGTGGCGTGGGCGGCATGGGGATAGGGCATCCGTCGGGAGTAGAGTTTGATCCAGGGAGGGCGAGGGCGATGGGGGTGAGCGGGCTGGGGCCGGTGGTGGGGGGCGCGGCGGGGCGAGGGGAGTTTGGGAGGGTGAATCGGTGGACGGATGATGGGCTGCCGCAGCCTGCAGGGACGGGCGCTGCTGTTGCTCAGGCGCTGGAGAGTGCTTTCCTGCAGTCCATGCAAGGGGTGCGCGAGGCAGGGGGGCAGGGCGGGCGGGAGGCTGGGAGAGGGGGAGGGAGGGAAGGGGGAGAGGCGGGGGGGCAGAGAGGTGGGGGTGCGGGGCGGAATGGGGAGACGCAACAGGGGAGAGGGGCGGGAGGGGAGGAGCAGCAGCGGCAGCAGGGGGAGGGGCAGGAGGAGGGGCAGAGGGAGCAGGAGAGGGAGGTGAGGCAAGAAGGTGGTGGTGGGGCGGCAGGGGCAGGAGGAAGTGGTGGGGCAACAGAGGCTGCTGCAACACAAGTAGCAGCAGGAGCAGGGGCAGGAGCAGCAGCAGGAGAGCAGGCAGGTGCCGACACCACTCAGACCGGTACACTAACAGGAACAGAGGCAGACGCAGCAGCAGCAGCAGCAGGGACCGAAGCAGGTAGGGGAGCAGAGGAGCTTGGGGCAGCAGGAGACGTGCAGATGGGCGAGAGAGGGAGTGAGAGGGAGAGGGAGGCAGAGGCGGAGGTGGAAGTGGCAAGTCAGGATAGTGGAGGGAGTGGGTTCACGGCTGGTGAGAGTCTGAGGAGTCTGGAGGTGGAGGTGGGGAGCATAGACGGCCGTGATGACATGCTCCTGATTGGTGCCGCTGCTGCTGCTGCTGCCCCGCCCGTTGCTGCTGCTGCCGCCGCTGCTTCTGTTCCTGCTGCTCCTCCTCCTCCCCCTCTTCCTCCTGCTGCTACTGCTGAGCTTTCTGCTTTGGCAGCTGGGCTTTCCGCTGCTACAGCTGAGCTTTCTGCTATTACAGCTGAGCTTTCAGCTGCTACAGCCGGGCTTTCTGCTGCTACGGCTGGGCTTTCTGCTGCTACAGCAGCTACAACTGCTGCTCCAGCTGTGCCAGGCGCAGAAGGAGAGGCGGTGCCGGCTGCAGCAGCTGCTGTGCCTGCTGGTGATGCTGCTGGCAGGGCAGCAGAGCAGCTAGTAGGAGAGGGAGGCACACCATCGCAGGCGCTGGCAGTTGTTGGGGCAACAGCAGGAGATACGGCACAAGGAGCGGCAGCGGTAGACACAGCAGGGGTGACTGCCATGGAAGTGGGGGAGCCGATCTCAGCTGCTGAGGGGGTAGTTACTCCCTCCCCTGCTGCTGCTGGTGATGCTGCATCAGTGGAAGCAGCAGCAGGAGTGGCAGGAGCAGGAGAAACGGTTACAGTGACCGAGGTTGAAGGGGAAGCAGCTCCTGCTAGTGCTGGCGCCACATCCTCTGCAGCTGCTGCTGCTCCAGCGACCGATGCTGCTGCGACGCCTGCTATTCCTGCTGTTCCTGTCCCACCCACCACTGATGTGCCAGGAGCTTCGGGTGGTGCGGCAGCGGACGCAGCCGCAGGTGCTTCAGGTGGTGCAGCAGGCACGAGCACAGGCGGAGCAGCAGCAGCAGAGGAGGAGGAGGATCTCCCAGAGATCGACCCAACCTTCCTGGAGGCTCTACCAGAGGATTTAAGGGCAGAGGTGCTGGCCTCGTTCCACGTGGAGCGAGCTGCCAGACAGGCCCGCCAGAGACGCGCCCAGCAGCAGGCCGCACAGCCACAGGGGCAGGGAGGAGCAGCAGGGGCCGGGGGAGGAGCGGGAGGAGCGGGGGGGTCTGGGGGGGCAGGGGGAACCGGGGGAGCAGGGGGAGCGGGAGCGGGAGGGGGGGCAGCAGCGGGGTTGGGAGGGGAGGATACAGGGGAGCTGGATCCGGAGTTTCTAGCAGCCCTGCCGCCAGATATTCAAGCAGAGGTGCTGGCACAGCAGCAGGCACAGCGCCTCATGGCGGCAGCGGCGGCCGCGGGAGCGGATGGGCATCCCGTGGACATGGATAGTGCGTCTATCATTGCCACATTCCCCGAGGAGCTTCGAGCCGAGGTCCTGCTGACTTCATCCGAAGCAGTGCTGGCGTCTCTCCCGCCTGCGCTCCTAGCTGAAGCCCAGCTGCTGAGGGAGCGGGCGATGCAGCAGCAGTACTCTAGGCACCAGCACCCCGCACACCCCCACCATGCCATCTTTGGCGGTCCCATTCGCCGCTCGCCTGCTGTTGCCGGTGGTACCACTGCCCACCGCCGCCCACCGCACCCGTTCGCTGTGGCTGCTGGGGAGGGCGGCGTGGGGGATGGTTTCAGGGGGTTTAATGCGGTGGGGATGGGGAGGCGGGAGAGGGAGGGCGCGGGAGTAGGGGCCGGGGCGGGGGCGGGGGCGGGGGGGAGTAAAGGTGGGGGGGAGGGTGGGGAGGAGGAGAAGGCGCCAGTGGTGGATGAGAGGGCGCTCAAGGCGCTCATTCGCCTGCTGCGCATCTCCCAGGTGGGTTCCTTGAATACTTCCCCCTCTCCCTCGCCCCCCAGTCAGGATATGTGACACTGCAAAGTTTCCTGCGCTGATAGAAGTTACCATTTTTCCTCTTGTCTTTCTCATCCCAACTTTCTTGACCCGTTTCACCCCACCTCTCCCACCCGTCCCCCTTTTCCCCACACCAGCCCCTGCAAAAGGCCTTGCTGCCACGACTGCTCACCAACCTCGCGTCACATGCCACCACGCGTGCAGCCCTCGTGCGCATCCTGCTAGATCTGCTGCGCCCGGACGGCGATCCAACGGACCAGCACCCCACGGGACAGAATCCAACGGACCAGAATGCGGCAGGCGCGCAGGCCGCTGCAGCATCTGCAGGGGAAGGCAGTCAGCCTGCAGCACCTGCAGCGGCTGCTGCTGCTGTGGAAGGCAATCAGGCCAATCAACCTGCATTGATTTCAGCCGTTGAGGGGGGTGCGGGTGAGGGTGGGTTAGCAGCGGACGGCGCCCTGCCGCACCAGCTGTACTGCTGCCAGTCCAATGTGGTGTATGCTCGACCACAGCGACCCAACAGTGAGTCACTCGCCTTACGGGCTCAAGACGCAAGGGCCGGACGGCTGGGCACTGCTTGCTGTGCTTCTTCCTATGCCTCAACCACCCTTGTTTCCATCTCCTTGCATTCCATTCTTCCTAATGCTCTTCGTCCCCCTTCCCTTCCCTTGTAGGCATCCCCTCATCTTTTGTCGCATACTAGAGCATCTAGTGTACCTTCCTCGTCACTCCATGGCTGCCACCTGCCTGCCCTCTTATTCACCACCATTCCTTTTGTGTCTCCCTTTGTCTCCCCACAGGTATCCCCCCTCTCGTGTCTCGGCGGGTTCTAGAGCTGCTATTGTACCTGTCTCGCCATTCCATGGCAGCCACGTGCCTGCCCCCCCTGTCTCCCCTTTGTTCACCATTCATCTTGTGCCTTCCCTCGTCCTGCAGGCATCCCTCCCCTCGTGTCCCGGCGGGTATTGGAGCTTCTGGTCTATCTGTCTCGCCACTCCATGGCAGCCACGCGCCTCCTGCTGCTCTTCCCCTCTGCACTCACTCGCTTGGCTCAGCAGCAGCGTGAGGAGCGGGAGAGGGTGAAGGAGCGCAAGGGCAAGGCAAAGGTGACGGAAGTAGCAGAGGAGGCTGTAGGAGGAGCAGCAGAGGGAGCAGCAGGAGGAGCCATGAAAGCAGGGGAATTGGTGGAGACGGGGGTTGTGGGCAGGGGAACGAAGGGGAAGAGAAAAGTGGGTGCCGATGGGGAGGCGGAGGAGGAAGGGGGAGAAGAGGGGGAAGGGGAGGTGCCGTTTGTGCTGATGCTGCACTTGTTGAGGCAGCCTCTGTACCTGCGTAGCTCGCCCCACTTGGAACAGGTCCGTGCAATGCTTCGCGTTTGCGTCTCATACAGGTGGTTACTTCCACAGCACCAGATTCTACTCTGTCCGCCCGCCCGCCCGCCCGTCCGTCCGTCAGCCCGCTTGCCGCTGCTCATCTCCTATCCTCTTCCCCCCATGTGTGTGTCTCTGCGTGTGTGCGTGCCATGCAGCTGCTGGGTCTCATGGAGGTTTTAGCTCGCACAGCAGCAGAGTCGACTTCGCCTCATGGAGGATTAGCCCTCCTGCCTTTGCTCATCTCTCTCCCCCTCCCCATACCTCCCCTCCCTTCCCCATGTGTGTGCATGCGGTGCAGCTGCTGGGTCTCATGGAGGTGGTAGCTCGCGCAGCAGCATAGGAGGCTTTGAACCGCCTTTGTAATTTTTATCACTAAGGCGTCTTCCCTCCCCCCCATGCGTGTGTGTGTGCATGGTATGTCCTGCAGCTGCTGGGTCTCATGGAGGTGGTAGCTCGCACAGCAGCATAGGAGGCTTTGAACCGCCTTTGTAATTTTTATCACTAAGGCGTCTTCCCTCTCCATGCGTGTGTGTGTGCATGGTATGTCCTGCAGCTGCTGGGTCTCATGGAGGTGGTAGCTCGCGCAGCAGCAGAGGAGGCTTTGAACCGCCTTTGTAATTTTTATCACTAAGGCGTCTTCCCTCCCCCCCATGCGTGTGTGTGTGCATGGTATGTCCTGCAGCTGCTGGGTCTCATGGAGGTGGTAGCTCGCGCAGCAGCAGAGGAGGCTTTGAACCGCCTTTGTAATTTTTATCACTAAGGCGTCTTCCCTCCCCCCCATGCGTGTGTGTGTGCATGGTATGTCCTGCAGCTGCTGGGTCTCATGGAGGTGGTAGCTCGCGCAGCAGCAGAGGAGGCTTTGAACCGCCTTTGTAATTTTTATCACTAAGGCGTCTTCCCTCCCCCCCATGCGTGTGTGTGTGCATGGTATGTCCTGCAGCTGCTGGGTCTCATGGAGGTGGTAGCTCGCGCAGCAGCAGAGGAGGCTTTGAACCGCCTTTGTAATTTTTATCACTAAGGCGTCTTCCCTCCCCCCCATGCGTGTGTGTGTGCATGGTATGTCCTGCAGCTGCTGGGTCTCATGGAGGTGGTAGCTCGCGCAGCAGCAGAGGAGGCTTTGAACCGCCTTTGTAATTTTTATCACTAAGGCGTCTTCCCTCCCCCCCATGCGTGTGTGTGTGCATGGTATGTCCTGCAGCTGCTGGGTCTCATGGAGGTGGTAGCTCGCGCAGCAGCAGAGGAGGCTTTGAACCGCCTTTGTAATTTTTATCACTAAGGCGTCTTCCCTCCCCCCCATGCGTGTGTGTGTGCATGGTATGTCCTGCAGCTGCTGGGTCTCATGGAGGTGGTAGCTCGCGCAGCAGCAGAGGAGGCTCTCAATGCTGCTGCCGCTGCTGCCGCTGCTGCTGCTGCCACACCTGCCGATGCTGCCACGCCTGCCACTACTGCCGCACCAGCCACGACTGCAGCTACCACGGCTGCTGCTGCTGGCGGTGCTGCCACTGCTGCTGGTGCAGCTGTTCCTGCTGATGCTGCTAGGCTCGAGGGGCAAGTAGCAGGAGAGGCGCCAGCAGCAGCAAGTGCACCAGTGGCAGTTGCACCCACTGCAGCAGCAGCAGGAGCAGAAGGAGCAGGAGGGATGGAAGGAGATGCTGCTACAGGCGCTGCCGAGCCAGTGGCAGAGGCTCGGATGGAGGGCGGTTCAGGTCCGGGGACTGCCGAGGCTGGACCTGCAAGTGGGGATGTAGAGATGGGAGAGAGGGAGAGAGAAGAGGGAGGGGAGGGGCAAGCAGGGCAGGAGGGGCAGGAGAGCAGAGACCAACCAAGAGAAACTCAAGAAGGGGCTTCAACCGCTGTGGCAGCGACTGCAGCAGCGGTAACAGCTGCTGCTGCAGCAGCCGCTGCTTCCGCTCCTATAACTGGAACAGAAACGGCTACTGCTCCCTCGACTGCTGCTACCATCCCACCCTCTTCCACACCCACATCCCCTCCCACCAGCACAGCACAACCCCCTGCCCCCACTGCTCCACCCACTCCCCCTGTGCCCATGCCAGTTACAGTCTTCCTCCGAATCCCCCACCCTGACCTGCGCATTCTCTCCCAGCTGCTCGCGCAGGAGGGCCTCTCAGATGCCTCCTACTCGCGGGCTGTCGCTGTGCTGCGGCTGGTTACCGCTGTGGTTCCTAAGTACCGCGCACTGTTTGTTGCTGACCTGGCAGAGGCGGCACGCCAGCTCAGCGCGCCGGCCACGCGGGAGTTGCTAGAGGTGGTGGAGGGGGCGGATGGCGGAGAGGGTGGGGGAGAGGAGGGAGCAAGCACAGCTGCAGCAGCAAGCGCAGCAACTGAGAGTGAGAGAGCGACTATGGAAGGGCAGGAGCAACAGCAGCAGCAGCAGCAGCAGGAGAAGCAGAGGCAGCAGCTCCAGCAGCACCATCAGCGCTAGCTGCTGTAACGGGCAAGCCATGGGGGCTGACGAGAGCAGGAGCAGCCACTCTCCGTGTCCTCAAGACCCTCACCTCGCTCCTCTCCCAACCCTCCTCCTCCCGCCCACCCGCATGGGACGGTGAATCCCCTTCAGGGCCAGCATCAGAAGCAGAATGCCAGGCTGTCATATCAGACCTTGTTGCGTCCCTCCACCCGCTCTGGCAAGTCCTATCCGAGTGCTGTGGCAAGCTCGAGGCTCGGTACAAGAAACACCCCGCCCTGTCTGCTTCGGCCGGACCTGCAGGTTCGGCGGCGGAGGCCGCGGCAGGCGTGGGCGGAGGGGCGGCAGGGGGGAGTGCGGTGCCGCCTTTGCCATCAGCAGCTCAGCAGCTGTTGCCATTTGTAGAGTCCTTCTTTGTGTTGTGTGACAAGACGAGCAACAAGGGCAAGGGTGCTGCTGCTGGGGGAGCTGCTGCTGCTCCTGATGCAATTCCTGCTGCTGCTGCGGATGCTGCAGCTGCCACTCCTTCTGCCTCTGCTCCTGGCACAAGTACTGCAGCAGCAGCGGCAGCAGCAACACAAGAGGCTGCTGCTGCCACCACCACCGCATTAACACCCATCCCTTCCACCTCCTCCATCCCCTCCTCCTCCTCCTTCTCCGCCTCCTCTCCCTCCTCTGCTCTCCTGCGCTTCACAGAGCGCCATCGCCGGCTGCTCAACGCGTTCGTACGCGGCAACCCGGCCCTGCTGGAGAGATCCTTTGCGGTGCTACTCAAGTGGGCATGGGTGCTGGACTTTGATAACAAGCGCGCTTACTTCAGGGCGAGGATGAGGCAGCTGCACGAGCAGCCGCATTACGGCACGCTGCGGATTACAGTTAGGCGGCCGTATATTCTCGAAGACTCGTACAACCAGGTGAGAGAAGGATTTGAGTGCATAGACGATTGTTTCCCTACCTCCTTGTTGCCGCCCATCTCTCTTTCTCCTTACCACAACAGTACATGTGCACAGAAAAGGGACCCTCAAAGGCACGTGAATCCCCTCCCCAACCCTCTTTACCCCTCACCCTCCCCCCCTCCCCCCTCCCCCCCAACAGCTGCGTATGCGCACAGCAGAGGAGCTAAGGGGCCGGCTGAATGTGCACTTTCAAGGAGAAGAGGGCATTGATGCGGGGGGGGTGACGCGCGAGTGGTACCAGCAGCTGTCGCGAGTGGTGTTTGACAAGGGCGCTCTGCTCTTCACCACCGTTGGCAACGACACCTCCTTCCAGCCCAACCCCAACTCTGTCTTGCAGCCGGGTCATCTGTCCTACTTCAAATTCGTGGGCCGAGTGGTGAGTGCTACTGGCCCTCCTTCAAGGCTCTGTTGCCTGAGTGGTAAGTGCTGGTCTTTGTGGTGTTTGACAAGGGCGCCCTGCTCTTCACCACCGTTGGCAACGACACCTCCTTCCAGCCCAACCCTAACTCTGTGCTGCAGCCGGGGCATCTGTCCTACTTCAAGTTTGTTGGCCGTGTTGTGAGTAACGCACTTAACACTAGGCGCTTCAGGTGCCATGCCTGAAAGGTTGGTTCGCTCTTCACCTATCGGTAAGCAAGCAGGGTACCTGCACGCGAGTGGTACCAGCAGCTGTCGCGAGTGGTGTTTGACAAGGGCGCTCTGCTCTTCACCACCGTTGGCAACGACACCTCCTTCCAGCCCAACCCTAATTCAGTCTTGCAGCCCGGCCACCTCTCTTACTTCAAATTTTTGGGGCGTGTGGTAAGTAGTGTTACTAGTTCTTCACCCATCACGACGCTCTTACAGCCCACACCAAACATCCCAATCCTTGCTCGATTCCTGCCTTCAGTTTGCCAGGATTTATATGCTGAGCAGCTGCTGGCCATGCCCATCACTCACGTCTCTGCAAGTACATCCTCTGTGTCAAGGTCACTTGACTCCTTTTAAACCCTCCACCCCACCCTCCTCGTTCCCGTTGTCTCCCCTCCAATGCTTGTGTGTGGGTGGCCAAAGCATTGTACGACGTGCAGCTGCTAGACGTGCACTTCACACATTCTTCCTACAAGCACATCCTGGGCGTGAAGGTCATTCAATTGCCCTTTCAAACCCTCTCCTGCACCCTTCCCATGCCAACCCTTTTTTCAATCCATGCCCTTTCCCATGCCTTGGCCAAGGCCCTGTACGACGGGCAGCTATTGGACGTGCATTTCACGCGCTCATTCTACAAGCACATTCTGGGCGTCAAAGTCACCCTGATGGCTCTTCAACTCCTCCCTCCGCCCTGGTTTTTCCACCCCCTCTTCAGGTTGCCAAGGCCCTGTACGATGGACAGCTGTTAGACGTGCACTTCACGCGCTCCTTCTACAAGCACATTTTGGGCGTGAAGCTCATCTGATTGCTCTCTCAAACCCCGTCGCCCCCCGCTCCTTGGCACTTTCAACCCGATCCATGTGTGCAGGTGGCCAAGGCCCTGTACGATGGACAGTTATTAGACGTGCACTTCACGCGCTCCTTTTACCAGCACATCCTGGGCGTTAAGGTCATCTGTTTGCTCTTTCAAACCCCATGTGCAGGTTGCCAAGGCGTTATACGACGGACAGCTGCTGGATGTGCATTTTACCCGCTCCTTCTACAAGCACATTCTGGGCGTCAAGGTCACGTTCCATGACATAGAGGCCATCGACCCTGATTACTACAAGAACCTGCAGTGGATGCTCGAGGTGTGTGTGGGGGTGGAAATGTAGAGTGCTGTGATGTAGAGCGTACCGTGCTGTAAGTAAGGTGCATGCTGCAGCTGCTGCTGCTGCTGTGTAAAGCCCATCATAGCCTTCTTCTGGGTCTGAAGGTCACGTTCCTTGACATAGAGGCCATGTATCCTCTGTGCCCTAACCCCCCTTCTCTTCTCTCCCCTCCTCGCTCCCTCCACCAGAACGACATCAGTGACATCCTGGACCTCACGTTCAGCATGGACGCGGACGAGGAGAAGCGCATTCTCTACGAGCGCACCGAGGTGAGACACAACACAAGGGTGCTGTTGACTTGGGCTGTACACCGCTCAGCCACTATCCACCACTTCCCACCGCTGTTCACGTGGTGACTTCTGTGAATTTCATGGCATAACAGCTGGCTCGCTGGCTCTCACCTGCACGAATTTTCCTGCCTCTTGCTCCACCTGCTTCCCCTGCCCCCCTGCCCCCCTGCATCCCTGGGGCTGCAACATGTAGGTAACCGATCACGAGCTCATTCCGGGGGGGCGCATCATCCGAGTAACAGAGGAGAACAAGCACGAGTACGTGGACGCCGTGGCGGACTACCGCACGACGGCTGCCATCCATTCCTCTCTCCCCCGTACCCCTTCCCCGCTACTCCCTTCTGCCTCACTACCAACAGGTGACAGACCACGAGTTGATCCCAGGCGGCCGCAACATTCGAGTGACGGAGGAGAACAAGCACGAGTACGTGGACGCTGTAGCAGACTACCGCATGACAGCTGCCATCCGCCCCTCAATGCCTCTTCGCTGCCTCTCCCCACCTCTCTGCCAACCCTCTTCTCTTTGAAACAGGTGACGGACCATGAGCTCATTCCCGGAGGCCGCAACATCAGGGTGACGGAGGAGAACAAGCACGAGTATGTGGACGCCGTGGCAGACTACCGCATGACGGCTGCCATCCGCCCGCAGATCGCAGCGTTCATGGAGGGATTCACGGAGCTGATCCCTAAAGACCTCATTGCCATGTTCAACGACAAGGAGCTGGAGCTGCTCATCTCTGGGCTTCCTGAGATCAACAGTGAGTGCTTGGCTTGTAGCTCTGTGGGTACTAGTGAGGGTGGTGGCAGTGAGTGAGGGTGGTGGCAGTGAGTGAGGGTGGTGGCAGTGAGTGAGGGTGGTGGCAGTGAGTGAGGGTGGTGGCAGTGAGTGAGGGTGGTGGCAGTGAGTGAGGGTGGTGGCAGTGAGTGAGGGTGGTGGCAGTGAGTGAGGGTGGTGGCAGTGAGTGAGGGTGGTGGCAGTGAGTGAGGGTGGTGGCAGTGAGTGAGGGTGGTGGCAGTGAGTGAGGGTGGTGGCAGTGAGTGAGGGTGGTGGCAGTGAGTGAGGGTGGTGGCAGTGAGTGAGGGTGGTGGCAGTGAGTGAGGGTGGTGGCAGTGAGTGAGGGTGGTGGCAGTGAGTGAGGGTGGTGGCAGTGAGTGAGGGTGGTGGCAGTGAGTGAGGGTGGTGGCAGTGAGTGAGGGTGGTGGCAGTGAGTGAGGGTGGTGGCAGTGAGTGAGGGTGGTGGCAGTGAGTGAGGGTGGTGGCAGTGAGTGAGGGTGGTGGCAGTGAGTGAGGGTGGTGGCAGTGAGTGAGGGTGGTGGCAGTGAGTGAGGGTGTGGAGGGATTCACGGAGCTCATTCCAAAGAACCTCATCGCCATGTTCAACGATAACGAGCTCCTCATTTCCGGCCTGCCTGAGATTGACAGTGAGTGTTTTTTGGTGCCCTGTGACTGTGGGTACTGGTGAGGTTAGTGAGTACGCCTGCAGGAGCGTTCATGAAGGGATTCATGGAGCATATTATTGCCTCTCTCACCCGCACCCCTTCTTGTATTCTCCCTCCTCCCCTACGCTCCCTCCCAGTTGACGACCTGCGCAGCAACACGGACTACACGGGGTACACGGCAGCGTCCCCTCAGATCCAGTGGTTCTGGGACGTGGTGGCGCATCTTTCCAAGGAGGACAGGGCTCGCCTGCTGCAGTTCGTCACCGGCACATCCAAGGTGAGAGGAGAGCAGAGGGAGAGGCATGTTCAAGGTAACACCAAATTACGCAGCAGGGTCGCCCCAAATCCAGTGGTTCTGGGACGTGGTGGCTCACCTCTCCAAGGAGGAGCGCGCCCGCCTGCTGCAATTCGTCACCGGCACGTCCAAGGTGAGTTGAGAGCAGAGGGAGAGGCATGTTCAAGGTGCAAGAGAGGAGGTAACACCACGCTCGTGCTTCGTGCATCCGTTGTGGAAAGCGTAACCCGTCGCAGTTCAAGGTGACACGGCACTCAAGAAACTTCTCCCTTCAAATAACCCTCTTCCTGCTCTCTCCGCGCCTTCCTGGCAGGTTCCTTTGGAGGGCTTTAAGGCACTGCAAGGGTTGTCAGGGCAGCAGCGGTTCCAGATCCACAAGGCATATGGCGATAACTCGAGGTTGCCCTCCGCTCACACATGGTGCGTTGCCTCCCACTCTCTCATCCCTCGTGTTCGCTCAGCTCTCTCACACTTCCAAATCCTCGCTCCTGCCCCTCCCCCACCTCTCTCCGTCCATGTTCTCCTCCCTTTTTCTCCCTGTTTTTCCATTTGTAGGCTCTGTCCTCAGTGTTTCTTCTTGTTCATTTTGTTCATGTTGTTGGTTAGCAGCTTATACCCGCTCATACCCCATTCCCTTAACAGTTTCAACCAATTGGATCTCCCGGAGTACAGCACCAAGGAGCAGCTACAAGAGAGACTCCTGTTGGCCATTCACGAAGCCAGTGAGGGCTTTGGATTCGGTTAAGGGGTGAATTAGCTGTGTTGTGTTACACGGTGCTCCTGTGGAGGCGTTGAGCTCGGTAAACGTAGAATATTATACGGAAGTTCTTTCGTCACGAAACAGCATTGCTCCTGCAGGGAAAACAAAAGCACAGAATCCATTTACAGCTGGATTTCTGTAATACGCTATACATATTAGACGAGGTGGTTGACGATGTACACGATCGCAGCCATTCTTGCTTGTAACGGATACTTTTCGTTGAGTAAGATCCGACATGTTAGCATTTCCAGGTGTCCGTGTGCCAGAGCAGCCACATCGGATAGATCTTTGCCACGCGGAAGTTTATCAACATAGATAGGCACAGAAATGTGGATATGGAAATTCGTGGTCGTGTGGGACATCGCGGCTGACGTGTCAATTGGACCCCCCTTTGTGCCATTCGAAGCGATTCGCATTGCACACGCGGCATTCGCAAGGCTTCCTTCGCAACCCTCTCCCGTCTTGCGAAGCTTGACGATATTTCGCTTACTGTCGCCCTTCCGTCCATCCACCACCAATCCTCCTCGGCAGCCATGGCTGCTTCCCAGCCACTCGCTGCCGCGCTGGACTCCCGGCCAGCTGTGTCACGGCAACTCCACGAATTCTGATTCTGGATTCCTGATGGGTGGAGAGAGCTGGGATTGGGAGTCAGTAGGGAGAGACCAGTATCTTGGAACGGACCAGACACATTCAGGCATGATCGTCCCCATAAATAGCCAGAAGTATCTTTTCCCGGGGTAATCCAAACGGCGTTTCTTCGCATTTACAGAGCAGCAGCTAGTCTACTGCTTCCTGCGACTCCCTCTCATCCATTTCTCAGACATCCTTTGAGAATGGCTGCTACCGTCGCTACCTCCTCCAAGGTGGTCGTCGCGCCCCGCGCGGCCCTTTCCCAGGGCAGCAGCGCTGGCGCCAGCTCTGTCAGGGCGTCCGCCGGCATCAGGTCCTTCAACGGCCTTGTCGCTGGTAACAAGGACAACCAGAAGTTCGCCAACATTTTCGCCGTTGAGCACGACATCCACTCCGCCGTCGCCTCGCACGTCGCCAAGGCGGGCAAGGGCACCCGCGGTGTGGTTACCATGGCGAAGAAGAGCGTGGGTTCGCTGACGGAGGCGGACCTGAAGGGCAAGCGCGTGTTCGTGCGCGCGGACCTGAACGTCCCCCTCGATGCGGACTTCAACATCACCGATGACACGCGTATCCGCGCCGCCGTGCCCACCATTAAGTACCTCATGGAGAAGGGCGCCAAGGTTCTCCTCACCAGCCACCTGGTAAGTCTTATACTCTCTTCAACATTGGCATGCTCTTAAACACTGACATGGTCTGGTTCCGGCAGCAAAGAGATGACTAGTCGCTGTTTGTCCTTTCAACATTGACTATCAATACAAGTTGTTAGCTTCCAATCTACATATATCGGAATTCTGTCTCTAATGTTTCTAATGTGCAACATTTTTTCCATCCGTTATTTTCCTTTCTTCAATTCCAGGGTCGCCCGAAGGGTGTGACTGAGAAGTTCCGCCTGACGCCCCTCGTGAACCGTCTGTCGGAGCTGCTGGGCATCAAGGTGCACAAGACGAGCGACTGCATCGGCGAGGAGGTCGAGAAGGCCGTCGCGGCGCTCCCCAACGGCGGCGTGGTGCTCCTCGAGAACGTCCGTTTCTACCCCGAGGAGGAGAAGAACGTCAAGGACTTCGCCGAGAAGCTCGCCGCCAACGCCGACCTCTACGTCAACGACGCGTTCGGCACGGCGCACCGCGCGCACGCCTCCACCGCCGGCGTGACCGAGTTCCTGAAGCCGTCCGTCGCGGGCTTCCTGCTCCAGAAGGAGCTTGACTACCTCGATGGCGCCGTGTCCAACCCCACCCGCCCCTTCGCCGCGATTGTCGGCGGCTCCAAGGTGTCGTCTAAGATCGGCGTGATTGAGTCGCTCCTCGCCAAGTGCGACATTCTGCTGCTGGGCGGTGGCATGATCTTCACCTTCTACCGCGCGCTCGGGTACAAGACGGGCGCGTCGCTCGTGGAGGAGGACAAGGTGGAGCTGGCGACGAGCCTGATCAAGAAGGCGGAGGAGAAGGGCGTGAAGCTGCTGCTGCCCACCGATGTTGTCATCGCTGACAAGTTCGCCCCTGACGCCAACTCCCAGGTTCGTTGCTCAAAGAGCTCTCTTTCACCATTCTTAGTTTCTCAATTTCTTCCCCCCCTGGATTGACTATTTACATGATCCGGGAATTTGAAGCTCTCTTTGGTAATTGTCTGGACACACATTGGGGCCTTCAAGACCATCAATAAGTGGGTCTTGACAAGCTCTGGTATTCACATTCACATTATCATAAGAGGACTCAACCTGATTTTAATGTTACATCCTCTTGTCTTGCCGCAGATCGTGTCGGCCAAGGACATCCCCGACGGCTGGATGGGTCTCGACATTGGCCCTGACTCCGTCAAGACGTTCAACGAGGCGCTCGACTCTTCCAAGACCGTCATCTGGAACGGCCCGATGGGTGTGTTCGAGTTCGACAAGTTCGCCGTCGGTACCGAGGCTGTCGCGAAGAAGCTCGCGGATCTGAGCGGCAAGGGTGTGATCACCATCATTGGTGGCGGTGATTCCGTGGCGGCTGTTGAGAAGGTGGGAGTGGCTGACAAGATGAGCCACATCTCCACCGGTGGCGGTGCCTCCCTGGAGCTTCTCGAGGGCAAGGTGTTGCCAGGTGTCGCTGCTCTCAACGATGCCTAGATGCTCGCCGGTAAATAGCTAATTTTGCCCCTCAGTTTTGTACAATTTTTGCATTTTAATGAAAAGGAAATAATCTTACTCTGCCTTCTTAGGCTGTGTTCCATGCTTGAGATCAGTCAGAACCGGACATGTACCATACCGTAGGAAGTGCATTAAACATACCACAAAGACTATCAATACGACAGAGACGTGGGCTCTGAGAATTTTTCAAATATTTTGTTATTTTACATCTCTCCCTAATCACCAATTGTACGGTACAAGATGGGAAAAGCATTTGTAAATCCTATTCTGGTCAAGTCAGTCCACCTTGACAACCACATTATGCTGCTTCTGGTGGAAGGTGCACAGCTCCCTCCAGACAGTGTGTGCCATCTTGTAGCCCGGTGCCGTATCACGAAGCTACTGTCTGTGACGCATTTCTGGTGCAGGGGGGGAGGGAGGGAGGTTGGGAGGGAGGAAGGGGAGGGAGAGGGAGGGAGGGAGGGAGAGAGTGGGGAATGGGAGTGAGAGGCAGAGGACGGGGCAGCAGGCACAGCACGAGGAAGGACTCCCTCGTGAGGATGTGCGCCACCTCGTAGCCCAGCGAGCACCATGAGGCCCGCCAGCAGCCACACACTCACTTCTAAGGTGAAGCGCGGGGTTATCACAAAGGGTCCGTCTGTGACACACTCCTGGCGAGGAGGGTTTGTGGCGCAGGGAGGAGGGGAAGAGAGGGTTTGGATACAGGGGTAAGGGGGGGAGCAGCCGCACACTTACGGTACTTCACAGGTATTCCGCACAATGTTTATTAGGTGACTGTCTGTCACATACCCTGGAACGCCCAACGCCCACCACCACCCAAAGCACGTACCACACAACACAATGGACTAGTGGCTGTCCTGGTTGCGCATCCACAGGTGCAGGTCACTGGCACGTTAAATTGTTCCCTTTTTAAGCTGCCTTGGTAAGACCCGACTCTCGGCCTGAAGAAGGCGTGGGAAGAGCGGGTTGAAGGAGGTGCAGAAGTGGGGATGGGTGGGAGGTGCGGACGTTAGGGGAGTTCAGGTGGTGGTAGTTGAAGTTATAAACTTGAAAGCTGGTGATGGCGGAGAGCCATGAGAACCCTTCATTCCATGATCTTCCTTCATTCGTTCCTTCCTGCAGTCGAGATGTCAACAGCTACCGTGACAATCGCGAAACGAATTCCACTTAATTAGTCATTGAAACCAGTATCGATTCAGAGACCCGACTCGAAGACCTTAGGGACGCCTCAATAGCCGGGATGTAAGCATCTACGACGAGCCACGCGACGTGCCATACGAAACGAAATACTTCAAGCTAACGACGAACGTCTCTTAGGCTAGCCCGACGCGATGGCCGTCAAAACGTCTCTGTCGTTGCGCGGATCCAGGAACTGATAGTTGCGCTGATAGGAACTGATATTCAAAACGTTTATAACGCTGATTGCTTCGCTGACAGTTGCGCCATTCGCGGATGGCGCTGATGGTCGCGCCGATAGTAGTGCTGATGGTTGCGCTGAAAGTTGCGCTTATTGCCGCGGTGACAGTTGCGCCAGCCGTTTAAACTTCGACCCACCATTAATTTGTTGGTACAAACTGCACTGAACGTGCATTCATATTAGCAGATTATATTAAGTTTCACGACAGAACTCTGTCCAAGGCCTAGGAAGGACAAACTCGATTTCGTAAGATAAAATGATACAAGTCAGCAAGCTTTCCTACAAATCAGCTATGCTTTCTAAGTTCTCCTGGAGGTGTGAGGAGATCTACTTGCGCCTCCACAGCAGCTTCAACACTTCCACGCAGCTTGAAAACTTCCACGCAGCATGGAGACTTCCGCGCAGCTTGAAAACTTCCGCGCAGCTTGAAAACATCCGCCTCCGCAGCAGCTTGAACACTTCCAAGTCTTCTTGACCCTTCTTGGCCGTCAGAGGCAAATGCCCCTGACGTTACACCCACGCACCACGATGAGGTGAGGGTCATTCGCGTGGGGCCTGCCTGGGAGGGAGGGGGGTGGTGGGGGGGGGGAGGGAAGTGCTTGGGAGGGGGGGAAACGGTTAAAAATTAGTGACGGGCAGATGAAAATAAACACCTCGAATTTGACGATAGGTTCCCCGTTGATTGTTGTCAAAATGTTGTCAGAATGACGGCCAGCCGTCAAGAGGACGGCCAGCCGAAAAGAGAGATACCTGACCTTTACCACCCATACCATCGCCCATCTGTCCGTGCCTAATCGAGTCTGTCTAACGCTCCTAAACGTTTTGTACCCACTAGCACACACATCTTACAGGCCTGGCGCTTGCGCTGGTTGCTCCCGCTTGTGCTGGTTGCTCCCGCCCCCGCCAAGATTGCAGGAAGGGCGGCATTGGAGAGGGAAGTCAAATTCCAACCTCGCGCTCCTTGCTCTTCGTTCCAGTCCAGGTTTTTAGCTCCAGGTCCTTAGCTCCAGGTCCTCCGCGTTCTACGCACGATACGCAGAGCCTCCTTCGTGACTTCACTTCCTGCACCACAGACGCCGACTAAAAATGACATTAGTAATTTTGAAAACGAAACAGCGAGGAGAGGAGCGAGAAATTGACGAGCTGAAAGGCGACGACGGGAAGATCAAACCACCAAAGCAGAGAGAAGAGCCGCCAAGCGCCGTGCTCCGATGCGCCGCGCTGCGCCGCGCTCCGCTTCGTTGCGCTCCGCTCCCCCGAAAAAGCGTCGCCATGCGGTCCCGCGACCTCCCATCCCCGCTTCCTCTGCGCTAAAGAAGAGAACACACAAAAGAAGTTAGTTTCTTCGGAAATGACAAAACTTAACGAAAAGAGATGGCACTTACCATGCTTGGGAGACCTCTGTGTTACCTCCTTATGTCGCCGCTGACCCAGCGAGCTTCCACTCCCGCTTCCGCTGCGCTAAGAGAAGAACACACACAGAAATCGTTAGAATTGCTGAAAAGGAAGCAATCTTCAACAAAAAACGACGTCACTTACCATGCACGGGAGACCCCCGCGTTACCTCCGTTGCTGTGATGTCCCCATTACTACTCAACCCGCGCCTTGGCCCTTGAGACGCGCCTATGCCCGCGCAACGCGCCTCCACGGCCCGCGAGACACGCCGTTCGGCCATCCCCATGCGTCGCCAACCGTACGCAGGCGGACGGCCAGCCTCTGCAAGGAGAAAGAATGAAAACGAAATCGTTAGAAGAATAATAAAGAAACAATATAAAACAATTTGCAAGCAGCCAAAGAACCAACACGTTACCTTAGCTTGAGCGAGGCGCTACTAGTAGCGGATCTTGGAAAGATCCGCGGGACGGACGAAGTGTCGCCAACCGTCGCCGTCCGATTGTGACGCCAGTCCTCGTCGCCAACCAGTTCGCGTCGCCGTGCGACCGCCATTCGTCGCCATCCGTCGCCGTATGTTGTCGTGCGCCGTTGGCCCCTGCAGGAGAAAGCATATCAACACGTTAGTACGGAAAAGATAAATCAGATCAGGCGCAACGGGAAGGAAAATCGAATCAACATGACGTTACCTCAGTCGAGCGAGGCGCTGCCGGTAGGCCGTCGCCGTCCCCTCGTGACGCGAGACACGCCGCGCCGACGCATGCGTCTCCGAATGGTCATCTCGGCGATCAATTTTGGCAACAAGGTCTTGGCGACATGGCGACATGCCTTCAAGCCTCAGCAGCGGCGACATGCATTCAAGCCTCAGCAGCGGCGACATGGCTTCAAGCCTCAGCAGCGGCGACATGGCTTCAAGTCTTGATGGCTTCAAGTCTCGTCGGCGCCTCTTGCGAAACTTCATGTCCTTGATAGTCTTCGCGTCAGCGCTTTCAAGTCGCCTGCAGGAAATATAAACAAGTTGGCTTAGAAACGAAATTTGAGAAACCTGAAAAAGCTTAGCTGAGAAACGAAGGAAAGTTACCCCAACTGGACGATAGACGTCAAGGGTCCGTTGGCGAGGCGCTTTTGACCCGCGAAGACTTTCAGCCTTTCATATCTGGAGCTCGAAGCGCCAACGGCGATCTTCACGTTATGCTGCGTCCGCTCTGTAGCTTGAAGCGCCATTCCGCTTGTAAAAGCGCTCATCCGCGTCTTGAAGTTTGACTTGGTTTCTCCGTGGTTGATAGCGACAAGAAGCAGATCGTCTGCAGAAGAAAAGTACAACGGGTTAGAGTTTATTTCTCAGAAACATGAAAATTCGAAGAAATTACCCGTGATGGTGATGGGGAAAGACGGCAGCGACTTCTGTTAGTGGCGTGAAGATCTTTCGGCGAGAAATTGAATCTGTCGTGAAGAGCTTGCCTCAGCGCCAAGACGGTCGTCAAGAGGTCTGCGGGAAGAAAGCAACAGGTTAGATCTTGAAGTTAACGGTTGCATGAAGAAGTTGAATCAAGTTGAACTTACCTCCGATTGTCAAGGTAGGCATGAAGCTTGGTTCTTGCGTTCCGAGCGGTGTCGCCGTGAACATTAGCCTTGTAAAGTCTTATTCTACCTACTACCTCATCAGATTTAATAGAAAACATCTCTTGTAATGTGAAAGTAGATCCAAAAGCTTGAAATGTCAAGCACTCCATCTCTCTTGGTCTTTCACCATCACAATGGGGCCAACCACCAAGAGGATGCTGTGAAACTAAGCTATCGGCCGAAATAGCTTAGTTACACAGCAACCTCATGGTGGTAAGTCTCATTTTGGTGGTCAAAGGTTCGAAGAGATGGAATGCTGGGCATTACAAGCTTATGGAGTAGCTTACGCATAAAAAGAGACGTTAACTGTAAAATCTGTTGACGTAGCAGGTAGAATCTGTAAATTTACGAGGCGAAATGTTGACGTAGCGGGCTCAAGTGTTAGTGTCCGCACATGAAGTGTTGACGTCGGCACTTCGTGATTAGCGTCGGCGCTTCAACTCTCCACAAGAGGTCGCCAACAGGTCTGCAGGAAGAAATAAACATGTTAGTACTGGAATAATGTTCAACGATTGAAAAACACAATAAAATGCTAAAATCGGCTACA